GAAATATATGGAAATAATATCAGATATTCAACAATTATCCCCAAAACACCGATTGAAACCTTATTATTGGTAAATAAATGAAACATTTGAAGTGTATTTTTATAATCATATTCAAAGCACAAGTTATATGTTAATACAGTATATAAATTTAAAAGCTGTGAATAATTATAAATTAAAATTAAGATTTACAGTTTCGTTGTAAAAATATGTAAATTCAAGCAAAACGTGAATAAAATTGCAATATAAAGAAGAAAATATTAAAATTATCATGTAACAATATAGTAAAATCAATAAAACAATATGATTAAAAGTAAAAATATATATCAATTAAAATATAAACCAGATTCACATTGAATTTGTAGTCTTTTCACGAATACATAAACTTTTGGCAATTATATGCTCCGCACTCGCAGTCAACCTCACGGAAAACGGCATTCCTTTTGAGACGACCGCCGGACTGACCCCTACTTTGTCGAGAGGTTGACGGACCGGATGTTTGGCCGACATATAGTTTAAGAATCGGAGAATCGGGCAGTCCTTTGGAGTGGTGTTCCACTGAATCGATGGAGTAGTCGTAAGTGAGTTCTTCATGCGATGGGATGTGTTTAGTGGCGAAGAGTGCGACCGTCGGCAGGAATCGATTTACCAACCCTTTAGTCCACGCGAAGAGTATACGACAGTTGGGATCACACGAATGGTTGACAAAACGCGTGATATTTCCGTATTGAGATGCGTCCACAACGTATGTATACTCGGCGTCACTCGAGTCCAAGTGTGCGCTTAAGTCGAAGAGGTATGTCGTCGGCCTCTTATCGGCCTCTAATACTGAGATCACTTCTCCGACGTAATGAGTAATGAACGCACCCTTCGGTATGTCCTGACCCGCCCTTACGCCCCAACCGCGAGACTTACTGTCCGATCGGAATATCTCCAAATCAAACTGTCGTCCCTTTTGTATCTGTCTGTTGGGACAGTTGTCACCGCATTTGCACTTCGCGTTGCACTCGTAGATAACTGTATTGAAGTGATGGTTGAGCACACCCTTCCTGTTGTACACCATAGGGAAGCCCACGACAGCCGTACAGCACTCGTCTTTGCACTCATAACAGTCGTCGCATTCACAGCCCACTAACGGCTCCTCGTCTTCGAAGCGTATATTTTGGCCGAATTGCACGTCAAGAATACAGTTAGTTATGTATGCCTTCAGATTAGGTATCTCGAGGTCCACATCGTTCACCACTCGTATGGGTCGGCCCTCACTCTCCCTCTCAATGATCGCATTCTGTGTTTTCTCCCAAACCTCCAGTTCTTTCACTAAATCCTTTCTCTTATCGACAAAATCCAAAAATCCGGAAATTGAGTCAAAATTGGCGGTTAAATGCAAACTTTTAGCCACTCTTAAGACCACTTCTCGCACTTTAATCCTTTCAGAGTTTGTCCTAATCTTGAGATTCTGTTTCCTTTCGGACAGTATATCGATTTGAGTTTTAATCACTTCAATGATCTGATCCATCACTTCATCATTGTTTCTGATTTCGAAACAATCGATCGGTTTCTTCGTAAACCTCTTAACGACCGCGAAGTCGATGTTTTGGACCAAATCCTTCAAATATCTCAAAAGTTTGTCGAATTCATCGAACGAACACTTCGGCGGTTGTCTTCCGTTCACGTGATTCAAGTGAAACTCAATCAACAGTTCTTCGCATTCGTTGATTTGTTTTGGACCAAATCCTTCAAATATCTCAAAAGTTTGTCGAATTCATCGAACGAACACTTCGGCGGTTGTCTTCCGTTCACGTGATTCAAGTGGAACTCAATCAAGAGTTCTTCGCATTCATTGATGTGTTGCTGCACTTCCCATGAGTTCTGGTCGTCTCCATAGCCATACCATTTCACTAAATACATCATAACTCCCTTCTCGTCCACACACCAGTCAACCACAGCCTCCGCCCAATATTGGCCATCACTGCCCACCGCTTCCTCCTAACAGACAAACCATCAAAAGAGACAATCATTAGACCACTTATAAAGAGGGCGTCAATGAGTGCCCAACGAAGCCATACATTGTGTGGATTGGCGTCCAATTCATCATCACTTATGTGTCTCTTTCGGCCCATATCTTCAGCACATCCAGAGAGTGACCACACTATGCGCTGGACATCGCTTTACCTCTTCTTCATTCACCTCTTCGTTACGTAACTTAAGTTAAATTTACTGTTATTTCGACAAAAATAATAACAAAACAAAAAATGATTTTTTTTCAAAAAATGACACAAAAATAGTTAACAAATGACTGCAAGAGATGTCTCTTTGGGTTTCAGTGAATGCTTTCAATGAATGCATTGAAAAATAAACACAATTTTTTTGAATCAAAAGTGTTTCAAAAATAGTCAACTTTTTTGCCAATGTTTTCGACGTTTCGCTTATAAATCGCTTTTAAAATTAGTTTTTAAACTCAATTTATCGCTCATTTGAGTGTCTTTTAGTACATCTTTTAATAATCATCGAAACCAATGGTAAGTCTGAACGTCCAATGTTTTCGACGTTTCGCTTATAAATCGCTTTTAAAATTAGTTTTTAAACTCAATTTATCGCTCATTTGAGTGTCTTTTAGTACATCTTTTAATAATCATCGAAACCAATGGTAAGTCTGAACGGAAACCATGTGTTGACCGCACGAGTGATAATGAATTGTCTGTTTTTTGTTGGATGTGTTTCAGTACGAAGTGCTTCACCGACAGGAGGGCGCCCACGACGACGGCATTTGGAGTGTTGGGTGGGCTCGAGGCGTGTCCGACGGCATTGAACACATCGTCACCGGCAGTCTCGACGACACCGTCAAAGCGTGGAAGTGGTCTGTAGTTTGTGTCCAACCGTCAAACGTGTCATAACATGTGTATCCCATTGTCTCGTAGGGACGATCACAGACTGGATCTGCGCTACATCTTTGAGGGACACGCTCTGGGAGTGGTGTCTGTGGACGTCGACAGCAGTGGTAGTATCGCGGCATCCAATTCGCTGGACAGTCACATCCGACTCTGGGATCTGGTGTCTGGCAATCAGGTGCAGAGTATCCAATGTTTTCGACGTTTCGCTTATAAATCGCTTTTAAAATTAGTTTTTAAACTCAATTTATCGCTCATTTGAGTGTCTTTTAGTACATCTTTTAATAATCATCGAAACCAATGGTAAGTCTGAACGCAAACAATGTATTGACCGCACGAGTGGTAATGAATTGTCTGTTTTTTGTTGGATGTGTTTCAGTACGAAGTGCTTCACCGACAGGAGGGCGCCCACGACGACGGCATCTGGAGTGTTGGGTGGGCTCGAGGCGTGTCCGACGGCATTGAGCACATCGTCACCGGCAGTCTCGACGACACCGTCAAAGCGTGGAAGTGGTCTGTAGTTTGTGTCCAATCGTCAAACGTGTCATAACGTGTGTATCTCGTTGTCTCGTAGGGACGATCACAGACTGGATCTGCGCTACATTTTTGAGGGACACGCTCTGGGAGTGGTGTCTGTGGACGTCGACAGCAGTGGTAGTATCGCGGCATCCAATTCGCTGGACAGTCACATCCGACTCTGGGATCTGGTGTCTGGCAATCAGGTGCAGAGTATAGACGCCGGACCCGTTAACGCCTGGACAGTGACCTTCTCTCCCGACTCTAAAATGATAGCCACTGGCAGTCATTCGGGAAAAATTATCTTATATTCGGTCGGAAGCGGCGAAAAGTCGGAACAGAGTCTGGACTCGACCGGAAAGTTCACTCTAAGCATAGCTTTTGTTAGTTTTATTTTCTATTGATTTTTATTTATCTTATTTTATTTATTCATTCATTTTGTATGCTTTCAGAGACCAGACGGCCAACAGATAGCGAGCGGTGCCATCGATGGTATGATTAAACTATTCGATATCGAAACGGGAAAAATGCTGACAACACTTGAAGGACACGCAATGCCCATCCGTTCGCTCACATTCTCACCCGATTGTCGACATTTGATCACCGCTTCAGACGACTGTCACATAAAGATCTATGACGTGCCGACCGGTGAACTCATATCAACTCTTTCAGGACACGGCTCTTGGGTTCTAAACGTGGACTTCTCGGCCGATAACAAGCACTTCGCCTCCGCGTAAGGATTGCACTCATGATTACATTCACTCAAAAAACAGACATTTATTAACCAAATATCAATTGAATTATTGAATAAACAGTTCGTCTGACAAAACGGTTAAGATATGGGATGTGGAGACCAGGGATTGTGTTCAGACATTCGATCACCACACGGATCAAGTCTGGGGCGTTAAATACAACAGCAATGGGAGTCGATTAGTGTCCGTATCGGACGACCACTCGATCATAATATACAACTGTCCGCTTTGATCACTACTGACTGTTTGACGAACAAAGTCGGCTGCAGTGCTTCTCCGGCCGACTCTTGTGCGGCTCTTCTTTCACTTGAGCCGTCACTGTCTCTCCGTTTTCGTCTATCTCTTGGATCGCTTTCTCCGGCAGTGATTCCGCTGTTTTCAATGAAGTCATTGTATATTTTCACACATTTTTTAAACAAATAAATTATATATCATTTAAAGTATTGAATTAAAATGATATTCATATCAAAGACATACCACTCGATGAACTCGAGAAGCGATGAATTCGCGCACCCTTTGCGCCAAACTTTGGTTGACTTGTTTTGTCCGTTATGTTTACGGACGCCATAATAGTACTCATTAAATCCATTCTTGAGTCCAAACTAGCGATCAATCGGACAGTTATAGCATTTGATCACTTAATCTCGAGTTGTCTCATACCTGTGCTGTTTGTCTGTAAGCATTAAACCTTTAATTCTTCGTCTGAGTTGTGGGCTATTGTTTGCACTTAAGTCCATGTGTTTACCGAAATGACGGACAAACTCGTGGGCCAAGTCTTGCTGATCAAAAATGGCCACAAAACTGGCGTTTATGATCTTCGGAGTCATTGGACTGTTGGACAGCAAAAGACTTGTACCGAAACCGGGGGTTCTCTTCTTGATTTCGGCCAAAGGTATGGCTCGACTGATGCGATGCTCTGGTATTCCGTAAGTCTTGAGGACAGTAGTGGCCATCTCTTTAATAATAGCGAAATCTCGTTGAATATCAGCGGTTGTGGTCTGAAGTGAGGTAACCGTGAATCTGATGACATACGTGCCCTTCAGAGACGCGGGAACGCAATGCAAACGTCCGCTTGAATTCAACTTTTTGAGCAGACATTCGGTCAGTTCGTTGTGACCCTTCAGACGAAACACAACGAGTCCTAAATGTCTTTCGGCCGGGATTTCAAATCGTGTATCACTTCTGACCAGTTCTTCAAAAGCTGTCGCCAATTTCACGCCTTTCCTCACGTGTTGTTGTAGACCCTATTAAATGACTCATACATTCTTATACCAAGAATACAGAATATTCTGTAATTTGCAAAACTAGTCAAATAACACATAATAGAGTAAAATTACAACATTTTTATTTCCCCGAATATTTCCGATTTTTGCATATTTTGAGAATATTCTCGATTTTAGCATATTTTAGAAAAATCCCGTAATTTTATGCAAAATACTCCCTAAAACTTTTCAAGAAAATCTAAAAATTATATTTTAAAAACCTACAAGATTTTAAGATAAGATGCCTAAAAAACATGCACCGATTGTGTCCGACGATGTCAAGCGTTCGTTACCTCAATTCAAGAATATTCTTACAGTCATAGAATACAATTTATTATATAATAGAATATTATTTTAATACGAGTTTTGCACAGATTGTAATTTAAAATCAATAATTGTTAAAAATCTTACAATACCTTTAATCCATAATTCCTTATAACAAACCATAATTTTAAACTACGGAACTTTTTACTCAATGAGATTTGCCAGTGCATGAAATCCATGGCTAATCTGTAAGTTAACATTTATTAATTAAAATAATTTAATCATATTCATTGTCCGTCAACTAATTTGAGGCACTATTTGTTTGCAGTAAATGCATTGCTGCCAACCTTTGGCCACTATTCTCATGCTTGAGATAAAGTGGTTCAACATTGAAAGTGCGGTGAAGTGCGGAACTGTTGCGAACCCACATCGCTGTGCAGTCAAAGTGAGTTAACATCCATTTCGATGGATTAAACGCCAGACTCTGGACGTAATCGATGCCATCCAACCATTTGCGAAACTCCGGACATATGAAGGCAGTGCCGGCATAGGCCGCGTCCACATGAATCCAAATGTCTTCGTTCTTAGCGATTGGTCCGATTTCCAAGAGGTTGTCGAAAGCACAGGCGCCGGTTGTGCCCAATGTTACGCATATGTAGAACGGGATGAGTCCGCGATCCCTATCGTGTTTAATCGCTTCAATCAACTTATCTCCCCTGAGGGACAGCTTCTCGTCGCTCTCAATGTATCTCATTTTCACCAAACCTATGAGACCCGCCTTTTCCACTGACGAGTGCGCCTGATCTGAACAATAGGCCACAAGTCTGCTATTGATCTCCGCGTCGTCCAACTCTTCCATACAGTTTTCCGCTTTGATTCTCAGTATAGCCTCAGTTCTGGCCGCCAATAGAGCCACGAATGTGGACTCCGATGCCGTCGTCTGTATAACTCCGCCGCCATTTGTGGGCGATTTGCTGTGAAGAAAGTCATCGGGAAGTCCGATCATCTTTGCCAACCAATCCATTACTATTATCTCCAGTTCAGTGCACGCGGGACTCGAGGCCTGACCATTGCCACACATTTTAGCACACAATCAAACAAATCAAACACAAAGTTTCAAAACTTTTTATAAGTCATTTAATTTATGTAAAAACATCTACACAGACAATTCATTGATAGTGTAGTGATGATAATTCATACCCAGGTGAATCCAAGTGATCCAATAGCATTGGCTAACATATCTCCCAACAGCGATGCGGGAGAGTTGAGGGCCGGAAAGTATGCGTGCATATAAGGCGACTGCCAATGAGTTACTCCTATATCACCAGTTAATTAACTCGTAATTTATAATAATATATTGCCAGAATATTGTGTGTATATTAACCACGAAGCGATAACATACCGGGCATTATAACCCTCTCAATATCAGCGAATATAATATTCCAATCCTCGCCATTAATGGGAGCGCTTTCTGGCAATAAGTGTCTCATATATCCGGGTTTAACGTCGGGAAACACTCGACGCTTTCTGATTGACTCCAAATAATCGGTGATAAAATCAACCATTTCTTTGCCTGTCATTTGATTTAACAATCATTTTACACATTATTTCTGTGTTTAAATTAATGAATTACATCAAATTGTTTGCAATTCAATGAATCGTTATTTAAAACTATTTGTCTTTAAAAAATAATTTCTTAATTAATGCGATAAATAATTGTTAGAAATGTGTTTAACAAGTAAATTGATTAAGATAGGTTTTATTGCTAAAGCGTATCTCTAATTACATTAAATTGCATCTACAAATTGCATTAAATTGTAGTAGGGTGATTATTAAATTTTATATTAAATGTTTGTCATTATATTATAATAAACTAATATAAAATGAATTTTGTAAATTATACTTCAATATACTGTATTGCAAAAATAAAACTTTTCTAAACTTTTTTGTTCATAAAATCAGTTCATTATTGGTTTTAATTGTAATATTGTTAATAAAAGTTTGGTATATTCATAATATGCAATATTTTTAACATTATTGCAGAGCCTATGAACTGAATTAAATTCCGAGAAAGCGCTCATAAAAAGAAATGCATATAAAAACCAGAATATTGTGTAATACACAAGTCGTTCAACCAGTCCTATAATAACTTATTATTCAAAACTTATAAAAGCTGTTTACGTTAAACACAACAATTATTTTATTATAAATGATAAGTTTAAACATAAAAATATTATAACTAACTAAGTAACATAATTATTACAAGAATTGTTGAATATTCTTGTAATCATATTAACCAAAATCGACACCATTTAATACATGAAAGAATTATACTTTATAATTATATAAATAAGTTATTACAATAACACAAGCGTTATAACAAAAATGATATTGATTAAAAGTTTTAGGCCTACACAGGAAAGAGTGGGCGGTTTAACTCAATTGATGCAAATATAAGAGCAAAGCATAACAATGTGTAAAACATTAACACATAGAGTAAAGTAAAGACACAGTAAAACATCGACGTGAATGACAGCGTCGGTACTGTGGGTGACATTTAAACTTACCATTCGGTCGGAAATCTTTCCAATCCATAATTTACTAAAAGTTATTTATAAAACATAAATATAGATAAAAATACTAAAACCCATTACAAACCAAATTATGAACAACTTTACTAAACTGTTGATATCGTAAATGAACTCAACTCTCAATTACCGACACCTTTTATACCCGATTAGTGCCCACAACATAACTATGGCATCAAATGTTGGCATTAATTATTAGATAATAACTGCTAATAGGAATAGACTCTCAATTCATAAAATAAGTATCGCATAACAGGAGAGAAATCCCTAAACACTAATCAATTATAAATAAACAATACAACAGATGATCAGTTCCGACAACTGATGACTTAAATTAACACTTAATACACTCGAGGGATATAAACCTCATTAATGTCTTAAAAATAACATCGAAAACAAAAAGTGATACAAAAATATATATAAAAACAAGTCTTCAAAAACCGATTTTAATTTATTCAAAGATTTTTTGTTTAATAACAACACAAATGACAGTAAATTAAAAATTGATTTTTTATATTTAATGTTGTTTTTTACGGAAACTGCAGCCATCCCTGAGTCTGGCCTTTCCGCCCGTCGGCGTACACAATATGGTTGAACAGCCCTTACATTGGACTACAGTCTGCGCGTGACTGAAGACCGTCGTTATCTTCAGACAACCTGTCCGTCAAAAGCAAACAAAAACATTACATTAAAGCGAGTGTTAAGAGTGGGTGAGAGAGAGAGAGAGAGAGAGAGAGAGCGAGTGGTGACAAACCGGGACACTTCACGTCCATGAAGAAGCTGTTCGGGTGTTGAACCAGACGTTTCAGTTTGCATTTGCGGCGCTCGTCCACAGACAGCGGGTGTAAGAGATCTCTCGCTAACTGCAAACCAAACAAACATTAATAGGTTTACAAACGTATCATCAAATCAATCATTAGTTGATTGTAAACACTGTTTGCGTCGAAAAACGATTTAAATGTCATGAACGGCACAACACGTAAACCCTTAGCCATAGGAAGTGCAGTGAAAGCCATTGCAAACGTATTGGAGACGTAGAGCACATGTTTATGCCATTCACTCATTCAAACCATACAAACGCCGAGAATTGTCAACAAAGCGGCCGATTGTGGTCTCAAACGGACGCAAACAGTGTTCACGAATGCATTGACACAACAATTGGTGTCCCATTCGGTGATAATCGCAGAAAATAAGGCAAATTGTATGAAGACTTACAGGCATTTCAATCGCGTATTCAATGATGGGTTCAAAGAGAAAGAAATATGTCGTCAATGCGTGCGGAATGTGTGCCACAGACTAGTGTTGTGCGCATGCGTTCACTGCCAACGAGACAACGCTTTGCCACCAAACAAATTGCCGGTTCCTGTCCTCCACTCCTATGCATAGTATTGCACATCAATTACGGCCACAATTCACACAACACTTCGTATTGGTTTGTATTGAAAGGCAATTGATATGCGTTTACGTTATTTACTATTATTTTTGTGGGAAATCTCGTTCATTATGTGAGTAATGTTTGCCACAAATATCGTCTTCACTTTCATAACTAATTCATATAATTTATATTCAATTGCTTTCAACAAAAGTGTCACTAAATTAACGCAAAATTACTAAAAACTTGTATGAAATGGTCGGCCAATGACTGATCCGACCATTAATTGGTTTTATTTGCAATATTTGTGTCAATAATTTGGGTCAAAACGAGCCGTAATTTGTTGTGAATAACGCTATGAATAAAGAAGTGTTTGGTTTTTGGCGTACAATAGCGTTGAGCCAATTGTGTGGTTGTCTGTAGTGTTGTATGTCTTGAGCCGTAAGTGACAGCAAACTCATCAGAAATGGCGGACAAAGATAGCGGTGAGGAGAAGACAATCGCTCAGGACTTAGTGGTGACCAAATACAAGATGGCCGGAGAAATGGTGAACCGTATGTATCGGCCAATGGTTGACACAAACCCCACGTCAACACGTGTTCCCACATGTTATGCATTGTTTATAATTGATTTTTTGATCCCATTTCTGAACCCAATTGTAGGCGTTTTGAAGCAATTGATAGATAAATGCAAAGCCGACGAAAGTGTCCGCAATTTATGTCAATTTGGAGACAATTGTATGAATGAAGAGACGAATAAAGTGTTCAAAAAGGAGAAGGAGTTGAAGAAAGGGATCGCTTTCCCGACATGTGTTTCGGTCAACAACACTATCTGTCACTTCTCTCCACTCAATAGTGAAGTCGATTACGTCCTCAAAGACGGAGATGTCGTCAAACTGTAAACCAATGATTACTGCCATATAATTGGCCGCCATTTAAATAAATGGTTGTGTTTTGACAGTGATTTGGGCGCACATATCGATGGCTTCATAGCAGTGGTGGCGCACACAGTGGTCGTCGGCGCGACCGCTGACAACAAAGTGGACGGACGTAAAGCCGATGTCATACTGGCGGCACATTTGGCGGCTGAAGCGGCTCTCCGTTTGGTGAGACCGGGCTCTGAGAACAATGCGGTGACGGATGCCATACAGAAAGTGTCGGAATCGTTCAAATGTAAGCCCATCTCCGGAATGCTTTCCCATCAGTTAAAGCAGTTCCGAATCGATGGCGAAAAGTCTATTATCCAAAACCCGACCGAAGCCCAGAAGAAAGACCACGAAAAGTGCGAGTTTGAAGTCAACGAAGTCTATGCCGTCGATGTCCTCATCAGCACTGGTGAGGGAAAGGTATGATTGGGTAGACATCGAGACAAGAATTGTTTAAACTTATTGTTTGATTGTCCCAAAGGGTCGTGAATTAGATTCCAAGACAACTGTGTATAAGAAGACCGAAGAAGTATATCAGCTGAAGATGAAGGCCTCGCGAGCCTTCTATAGCGATGTGGACAAGAGGTTCGGTTCAATGCCTTTCACTTTGAGGGCATTTGAAGAGGAAAAGAAGGCCCGAATGGGAGTCTTAGAGTGTGTCAATCACAAGCTGTTGGAGCCCTTCACAGTCCTCTACGAAAAGGACAACGAATTTGTGGCTCAGTTTAAGTTTACAGTTCTTCTCATGCCTTCCGGTTCTCATAAGATAACGGGTTTACCATTCGATACGTCTGTTCTGAAGAGTGAGTTCAACGTTGAGGACGATTCAATCAAAGCTCTCCTGAATAAAGGTGTCGGACATAAGGGCGGGAAGAAGAAGAAGAAGTCGGCCGCGAAGGCTGTGGCCGAGGCTTCCGGCGACAAAGTGGTGAATAACGGCGTCAATGCAGTCAAAAGCGAAGATTAAGTTAATTTTCTGAACATTTTTAAGTATAAAACCAAATAAGAGTTAATAATAAAAATTTTATGAAAATTAATTTTAATTTTACGGACCACTCATTCATTCAGTTTATTCCTCCAATCAACTAATGTTACGATATTATACATCAATCGTTAATAATAAAAAGTATTGGTTTTAATGTTAATGTGTTTGGCATTTAAGTGTCATTTATTTTTTGCATTTAAAATTGCTGTCATATTTGTCGTACAAAAAATGGGTACATTTTTTTAAATTAATTATTCAAACCAACTGTTTTGCTGAAAAATGAGAGACTCTGTACTAAACGCCAATTTACTTGAGCTTTGCATTCAATATACAATTTATTGAATCAAGTTTTTTGCAAAATTATTATTGCATTTATTTTCTAATTTTTATCACTAATTATTTGTTTTGTTCCTTAATTTGTGGAAAAAATAATTATATATAAGGATAAAAAATTAATAAAAAAGTTTTTTAATGAAATGTAAGCCAAGTTTTTGTACTTTTTTTTCTTATAAGACATTCAATTTGATTATCGCATAGTTTTTAGTGAAAAGAAAAATTATATTTCACTTTCATTGCGATTGTGTTATTGAGTTGTCATTCAATTCAATGCAAACATCGAAACCACTATTGAATGATCGCTTCAATTGTGTGTCTATTAGTTGTATTGAATGAATGAGTGCTAAGAATCGGTTCAATTGGCCAACAGTTGTGAGCGTTGGCTACGATTTGAGCGCCGATACGGACTCTCAGCGATACTGACGGCAAAAGTAAGTGATTATTGAACCTAATTCTGTAGGAGTAATGCCTCGATTCGACAACACAACAGAGACACTACCTTTCGGACAAATTCATACATAGAATATATGAGTTAATCATTAATAATCTATTAATTATATACAGTACTGTATTTATTATTAAATTTTTAGCACATTTACATTCAATGTTCAATTTTTATTGTTATATTTTTTTGAAATTCCTGCATTTAAATTAATTTTATGGATTTTTCTATTGCTATATAACATTCAATGTATCAATAAAAAGTGTATTTTCAAAATTAATAAAGCAATATAAACACCATATGATAGCATTCCCTGTATTAAAGCTTGGTATCACGTGAAATGGTATATACATTTATGATGTCACATATATATGAGAGTAGGGTGTTACACCGGATGTGCTTTTATTCACAGTTAGTCTGATATATACTACACGTATTGTATGGTATTGTCTCCATCTATGAATGTTTAT